ATCACTAACTATGTGTTTGGGGAGTGTTTGTTTTGTTCATGATATGAGTCATCGACACAAGTTTGATTCTAAATTAGTTAAGTGTGTATTACTTGGTTACTCTCCAGTCCAGAAAGCCTATAGATGCTTTGATGCTCTCTCTAGCAAGAGATATGTCTCTAAGGATGTTACCTTTTTGGAATTCTCTTTCTTTTTCTAGTCACCCCATCATTTTCTTCAGGGGGAGAATGAAAGTGAAGATCAGACTCCCTTCTGTCTTCCTGTTCCTACCTATATTCCTTCCTCTCTTCCTTCCTCTATTCCTCCTCCTCCTCCTGTGTATTGACCTCGGTCCTGGCAGCAATTTTTCATCAGGCGTAGTAAGAGGGTGGCTCTTGAAGCAGAATGCCCATCACAATCTGACTCCCCAAACTCAGGTAGTCTTGAACCTCCTAACAATCTTATTATTGATTTTGACCTTGATCTTCTTATTGCCATTTGAAAAGGGAAGATGACATGTAGCAAGTATCCTATCACTAACTATGTGTCTTATGATGCTCTTTCACCTTCCTATTGTGCCTATATTTCTGCTATCTCTTCTATTTCCTTCCCTTGCAGTGTTACATAGGCAATGCAGTGCCCCCACTAGAAGGAAGCTATGAACCAAGAAATGGAGGCCCTAATAAAGAATTAGACTTGGGAGGTTGTTCCTTGCCCCAAAGATAAGATTCCTGTTGGGTGTAAGTGGGTTTATACTGTTAAGCACAAGGTAGATGACTCAATTGAAAGATACAAAGCTCGGCTTGTAGCCAAAGGATACACTCAGACTTATGGCATTGATTATCTGGAAACCTTTGCTCTAGTTGCTAAAATGAACTCTATTTGTGTGGTCATGTTTCTTGCCGCCCATTACTCATGGCCTTTATATCAAATGGATGTAAAGAATGCCTTCCTTAATGGGGACTTACAAGAGAAAGTGTATATGGATTTACCACCTGGGGTAAGTTTTCCTAACAGTGATGGAAAAGTGTTCAATGTTGTTAGGTTTAGGAATGCCATCTTAAAGATTGGGTTTTCTCAATCTCAGGCTGACCACACCTTATTTATTAGAAGAGTTGATGGTAGAGTAACAATGTTGATAGTATATGTTGATGACATTGTTGTGACAGGTGATGATATCACATGTATCTCTTAGTTAAAGTCATTACTTGCTTCTGAATTTGAGATTAAGGACCTTTGTGATCTCCGATACTTTCTTGGCATTGGAGCTGTAAGATCCAAGAAGGGGATTTTTTTGTCACAAAGGAAGTATGTACTTGATTTGCTTCATAAGGTTGGGAAATTAGGGTGTAAGCCTGTAGAAACTCCAATTGATCCCAACCACAAGTTGAACTCTACTAAAGGAGAAATTCTTCCAGACAGGGGGGTATATCAAAGATTGGTGGGACACCTTCTGTATCTTTGTTTGACTAGACTTGACATTTCCTATGTTGTTGGAGTGGTTAGCTAATATATGCATGAACCCAGGACATCTCATATGCAGGTAGTTAACAGAATTTTAGCCTACATGAAATGATGCCTTGGCAAAGGGATGTTGTATTCCAACTTCGGCCATCTAAAGATTGAGGCTTACACAGATGCTGATTGGGCAAGGTCCATCGATGATAGAAGATCTACATCCGGTTATTGTGCCTTAGTTGGTGGCAATTTGGTTTCCTGGAAAAGTAAGAAACAATTTGTGGTTGCTCGTTCTAGTGTTGAGGCAGAGTACAGGGCAATGGTTCATGGAGTGTTTGAACTACTCTGGTTGAAGACCGTATTGACTGAGATGGGCATCCAAGCAGATGTTCCAATGAGACTATATTGTGACAATCAAGCAGCTATTAAATATTGCTCACAATCCTGTCCAACATGATCGTACAAAGCATATTGAGGTGGATAGACACTTTATTAGAGAAAGAATTGCTAGTGGAGAGATTTGCCTTCCTTTTGTAAGGTCAGAAGACCAACTAGCTGATTGCCTCACTAAAGGTGTTCACCATCCAAAGTTTGCTAAGAACCTTGCCAAGCTGGGCATGATTGACATATATGCTTAGCTTGAGGGGGAGTGTTGAGAATGGTTAGATAGGGGTGTTTTTGGTCATTTTCTCCTTTCTTATACTCTCTCAGTATTTGGGCACCCAGATAGGGGCCTTTTTGTAATTATTAATTTTCAATTATAAAGTGAACTTTTGAGGGTGTGAACAGTGAATAACAGACACCTCTCGACACATGCTCTCTTCTTCCTCTTCTTCTTTTTCTCTTCTCTTCTTCCTCTCTCTTGAAACCCTAGTTTTTGCAACTAAAGCAAACTTTACATTTGATTTTCCCTTTTTAATGCTTTCATGAATTTGTACACCTTCTATGCATTTGGATTATGGTGTTTTATACATATTGAATTATAAAAATTTTATTATGAAATATGGCTTTGGATTCAGAAGGGGAATCAGGGATTCTGAGATTCCTAATGTGTTAAATCTTTTGCACATTTTGGAAAGTGTCTTCATGGAACCCTCAAAGTCGGATAGAAGGATTTGGAATCATTTTCCTTCTGGTTCTTTTCTTGTCCCTCCTTTAAGATTCTTTCTTCCTCTTCTGGTCTGTCCAAATATTTTCTTGTTAAAGAGGTGTGGTGTAAACCTGTTCCTCCTAGAATTCTGGCCTTTTGTTGGGAAGTAGCTCATGAGAAAATTAGCACTATGGATGTCTTACAAAGATGGAGTCCCAACTAGTGCCTTGGTTTGTTCATTTACTAATCTCCTACTCATTTGTTGTTAGTTTTAGTATGGTTTTTCTTTCTTTTTGGTTGCAGGTGGGTTACTCTAACTTCTGTGAGACTTATTTTCCTTAGGATTTTTGATGCAAAACAGAAAAAGCAGAAGAGCAATTTGGAGGGGTACAAAGGCTGCTATCCTATTGACAGTTTGGGAAGAAAGGAATGCAATACAAGAATTTCCAATGAATGAAAAAGAAGCAACCTATAATTGATTGTATAAATATTTGAGCAGTTTTTGGATAAAATCCTTAAAGGTTTTTAATCCCTTCTCAATTGATGATATTGTAAGAAAATGGGGAGACGTGTTTGCTTCATCAACTAAAAAGGCCAAGGGTATGAGAAGTTGGGATTTGGGAATCCTCAGAGAGGGGATTTTGGAAGGTTAATTTCGATGGAAGTAGCTTGGCGAATCTTGGACCTTCAGGGGTGGGGGGAGTTATATAAGGGATGGAGGGACTGTAAGAACAATGTTCTCAGGGCCAATAGGTTTGATGTTGGAGATTCTACAAGAGGTGAAGTGTCGGCAGTACTACAGGGGGTTCATCAAGCATGTGAGATGAATGTTGGGAAGCTTGTAATAGAAGGAGATTCAGAGGAGAAAACTAATTGGTTAAAGAAAGAGGATAAGGCTCTGGAAGTATAGAAGTGAAGTGAAGAAACTTAGATGGATGACAAGGAATATGCAGGTGAAAATTCAGTGGGTCCCAAGATTGGCTAACAATTGGGATAATAGCTTAGCTAAACAAGGGGTGCACAGAAATAAAATATTTTGGGAAAATTTGTAATTGTAATTTCATTTGGGGAGGGATGGCTATGCTATGCTCTCAGCTTTGTAAAGAGATGTATAATTTCTGTTTATATTAATAAATAGGATTTTCTTTGTTGCTGATAAAAAATATGGCTTTGAATTATCACATTATGCCATGTAAACACTCTTACAATGATGATTGCAAGTGAATGTGTGGATGCAAGAATTAGAAGTGGTGTTCCAGGGGTTATATGTAAAACTGATATGGAAAAAGCTTATGATCACGTGGAGTTGGGGTTTTCAGAAGAGGTGATGGGGCTGTTGGGTTTTGGCGAGAAGTGGAGGAGTTGGATGTTTGTGTGCATCTCTTCAGTGTCATTCTTGATGTTAATAATTGGGATTTCTAGGGAATTTTTTTGGGTCTTCAAGGGGGTTGAGACAAGGGGATCCTTTTTCTCCATTGCTTTTTGTGTTGCATAGGCTAATCAATAAAGAAGTGGAGGCAGGCTTATTTAGATGTTTTAGAGTGGCGAGAGAGGGGTTGATCATAACTCATCTACATTATGCTGATGAAGTGCTCAATTTCAGCTCCTGCTCAGCCGATGCATCTGCAAAAAATAACATGTAATCAGCATATTGTAGATGAGTTATGGCCAACCCCTCTCTCCCCACTCTAAAACCTCTAGAGAAGCCTGCCTCCACTCTTTTATTGATTAACCTACTCAAAACCCCCACCACCAACACAAAAAGCAATGTAGGCAAAGGGTCTCCTTGTCTTAACCCCCTTGACCCAAAAATTCTGAAGAAATCCCATTTACTAACGCTGAGAATGATACGGAAGAGGTGTACACAAACATCCAACTCCTCCACTTCTCGCCAAAACCCATCAGCCCCATCACCTCTTTCAAAAGCCCCCACTCCATGTGATCATAAACTTTTTCCATATCAATTATACATATAACACCACTTCTAACTTTTGCATCCATACATTCACTTGCAATCATCAGTCCATCCAAATTTTTTCTTCCTTGCATCCACACATTGTATCTCCTTCGTCACCTGGCCCCATTTTGCATCTCTTTTCTTCATTAATGGATTGCATTTTTTATTTATCTTAAAAGCAAGAGTAAGGTATAGGATCTCAAAACTAAAATTATATTTATTTTGCAGATGCATTGTACTCTTAAAGTGGCATTATGCTTTTCTTGATAAATCATCCTGATAGCCTTACAAATTTGCTAAATTTCATATATATTGAATGAAGAATATATATATTTTTAATTTCATCTTTCGTTTTTGAGGAATAGTTCCTAGTTTGACTCTTCAAATTGATATGTGAAACTTTATTTTGGTATGCACTAACCAAAAGAGTTTCCATTTAGTTTCACTTTAGTATTTAGAGATAGAAAGGATTAACTTTTATTGCCTGTGTCTTTTTCATTCTTCCATCATAAACAGCTCTCTCAGAAAGGGATTAAGGTGACTATTGTTTGCCCTGGACCAATAGATACGACAAATGGTTCTGGAGCAAGCACTTCTGGACAGAGGGGTTCTTCTGAGGTAAGCATCTTATAATAACAGTTTAATTTATTGCATTGTAAATAAGGTTTAGAAAGCAGTGCCTGTCATAGTTTTGTGGCTAAAAAGTTAAATATCCATGTCTGTTATATCATGGATAACTTAGAATTAGTGCTAAAATATTATGTTTAGATGACATTGCTCGAGAAAGGGGGCTTGAAAGTATGAAGTTGGATGAAGTGTGCTGTTGTATATGAAACCTAGTTAGGAAATGAATATACTTATTGAAATTAGGGAGAATAACTGTACTAGTTATATGTTCCGAAAAAAATAGAAATTTGAAAAAAAGAAATATAAATATAATAAACATTAGGGTAAAAGACTTAAACCTCCCCTTATGTTTATCCTAAATACTAAGATCTCCCCTCTCTTTTCAAGATGGACTTAAACCTCCCTGTCCAGTGAAATTATGGGACAGAGACCTCCCCTCCGTTAACAATTTGTCAAAATCTGTTTGTACATGATATCACTTATAGTTGATTTTTTAAAATTCCAATTTTGCCCTCTTATTGTCCTTTTACCTTGACTCAAAAACCACTCGAAATCTTGGAAGGTTTATTATAGCAATTCTTATTTCAAAAAGGTCTAGGTTCAAGAATGATTTTCTAACCGCTCTGGATCATCTGCATTTATTTCTTCGAAAACTCCTACTGAGTCCTCTGAATTAATGAATTCTGTGAGTCCACTTCATAGAAATCTTCTCTAAAAGAGTTTGTGTTCATATCAACGTTGGAACTCTCAACTTGTTAGTGGGCATCGATCAAATCTAGCCATGACATTAAACTGTTACTTATTTTTTATTAAAATACATGACCCTTCAAATCGATCAACTTGATTGAATCTTCATCTCCAGAGTAACTGCAACCACAGTTTTTCTATGAATGAAGATTTCATTAATATCAAAAGAATTTAAATTGACATTTCAGACAACTTTTTTTCTGAAATATATATAAAAAATCATGAAAAACAAAAACAAAAAATGGGCTGAATAAGGAACTAATAAGATATGCAAAAGGAAATAATGAGCTCTCTCTCAAGTATACAAATAAGAGCTTTTCACTTGGTCATTATGGCCTTGTGCAAGGCATATGGTCTGGGATGATCAACATCACTAATGCAAACTCTGATTTTTCTTTGGGCTATGCATTGGAAAAATTGAAAGAGGTATTTCTTCTCAGTGGAGGTCTGAAAATGGTGCATCTCCTTTTTTTTTAGAAATTTCCTCTTGTTTTTCTTACGAATGCTCATCTTTTTATTTCTTAGCTTGTGCTTGAGAATACATATATGTTCATACCCAAAACTCTCTAGTGACAGGGTTTCCAATATTTTAAAAATTTGAAGAATCAATAATGGTACAAGAAACGTTTTAATTACTCCGTTAGACAACTTTAACAGGGGAGGTCTTAGTCCAACTTGAAAAGAGGGGAGGTTTTAGCATTTCAGAGAAACCTCAGGGGAGGTTTAAGACTTTTACTGGGTTATAAGTATTTAGCAAAGATGTGATTCAGTCCACTAAAATCTGGAAAATAATCTCTGATTATAGCAAGAAAAGAAAAAAGGAGAAGAAGAAAACAGTAGAAAAGAAAGAAGAAGATGGAAAAGAAGGGAGAAGGAGAAGAGAGTTTGATGTCTTCTCTCCTTTCTCTCTAATCCTTTTATTAATCTCACTTAATTAGAACTATTTACAAGTCTGCCCTTAAGTGGGCGGCCAATTCAACACACTTAAAAGAAATAAAAGAGATTTAACCGATCCATAAAGAAAAAGACTCATCATCAAACAAAACATGTAAGAAGCACTAAGAACAAGAAAATAATGCACTAGGTCCTGTTTGGCCCAATCTATCTACACTCCCCCTCAAGCTAAGCATAGATATCAATCATGCCCAGCTTGCTTGTATAGTGTATCAACTTCTCTTTCGGAACATCTTTTGTCAAAATATCAGCCAACTGTTCTTCAGAAGCAATAAATGGCAAGCAGACTTTCCCTGAAGCAACTCTCCTCAGTATAAAATGTTTATCAACCTCTATGTGCTTAGTTCTGTCATGTTGGACGGGATTGTGTGCAATGTTGGTAGCTGCCTGGTTGTCGTAATATAACATCATTTGCTTCTCATTATAGACTGCTTCTTACTCCTCCATGAAACAATGTTTCTAGCCTAGTCAGCATCAGTGTATGCTTCCAACTTCATTTGTCCATGCTTGGCAAATAGGATTCTCTTTCCTGTAGTCCCTTTCAGGTAACACAAAACCCTCTCTACAACTACTAAATGTGTATTTCTAGGAGAATGCATGAACTGAATAATGACATTGCATAGGAAATATCTAGTCGAGTCATGCAAAGATATAACAACTTTCAAGTAGTCTAACACTCCCCTATCAGTCAACATTTTTCATTCAGTAGATTTAAGTCTATAGGAGTGGAAGCTAGTTTAACACCAAGTTTGCCAATTTCTATAAGTAGATCAAGGACATACATTGAGAAATGAAGATAACATCCTTAGACTAAGCAACTTCAATTCCCATGAAATATCTAAGTTCACCCTTGTCTTTGATTTCAAATTCAATGTTAAGAAATCTTTTGAGATTAACAACTTCTTGGGTGTCATCACCAATAACCACAATGTCATCAATATAAAGAATTAGAAGGGTCACCAAGGAATCTCTCCTCTTAACAAATAGAGTATGATTAGACTGAGTCTGTGTGTAACCAAAGGTAACAAGGGTAGCTCCGAATCTCTGAAACCAAGCTCTAGGAGACTATTTGAGGCCATAAAGAGAATTCCTCAATTTACACACCTTCCCTTGCATTTCCTTCTCATACACCCCTAGAGGTAAAGAAATATAAACCTCTTCATGCAGGTCTCCATTCAAGAAGGCATTTTTAACATCAAATCAGTGAAGTGGCTGTTGAAGTCATTTTTTTTTATTCAAATAATTTGTAATAAGTGGGCTGGCTAGTCTACTAGCCAAATCATTAAAATTATAAAAAAGTATCCCATATGGGAGTTCCCCCTCTTAAGTGAGGAGTTCTCTCTCTTTAAGTGGGGAGTTCCCTCTCTTTAAGTGGGAGGGACAGGTGTCCTTCACCTAGGAGGAGGGGTAGTTACATAACCACCCCACTCCCTATTTAAGCTCCTTAAGGGGAAGCTAGAAACACATACACACGGAGAGACTCTTCGGAGAAAATTTTCACAAGAGATTCTTAAGAAAAGCAAAGATAAGGAGAGAAGAAAAGAGAAGTACTCAAGGGAAGGCAA